ATGTTTGTCACTTCTTGGAGCAAAGTCTCATTCTGTCAGCATCTATTATACTGTGCCAATGTGATGCCAGGATCTTGGAAAGTCCTAATCTCTATTTCACATAGCCACCTGGCTGAGAAACAGTTTTCCTTTTAGACACATGGAATTGGAGGCTTTGCCAAAAGCCACACATCAAGTGGGGCTGAGGTGGTGTTTCTACCTCCCTATCCCTACTGTACATTTAGTCTTTTCATAGCCCCAAGTACTGTAGGAACTCAGAGGAACTCCATCTCATAGGTGAATTGTCAATGTCCTTGACCTCAGCCAGTACTGATGGCACCAGACACACACCCTTTGCTGATGTTCATTTCAAGCCATTGTTCAAGAAGCTAGCAAGATGCTCTGGGCCAGAGAAGAATCAGGGGAAATCTAAATTTAGGCTTAAGGATTTGGGCAGCCAGCTTGGAACTCTGGTTCCTGTACAGCCCACGTTGTCACTTGCCACATTTTTTGTCACTTCCCTTTAAAATCTACTGAGTCTCCTGATAGCACTGGCCATTTCTCCAGGCTTCTTCCTCCATTTTGCTCATGGCCTCCCTCTCTAGCTGTTTTTACTTTCCAATAGCAGGCTTGTTGCCCTGCCCAGACCCCTTTCCAGGCTGGAGACCCAGCCTAGCTGCCATGAGAGATGCTGATAGCTCACTGGGCACCAGGGGAGGGATACCTTCAGCCTTACTCTCCTGTGGCTTAAGAGGGACTGCCACAGAGCACGTAAGGTCAGCCCTGTCTCAGGGTGGGAATAGATCAGGGGCAATTTCACTGTAGAAATCCCCTGGTATCAGTCTCTTGTTGAGACCATGTCCTCACCCCATTCTTCTTTGCCCTGTCCCATGTCCCTCGCTGACCTTCTGCTGAGGGAGCTCCCTCGGCTAGTCATTTGACTAGAATCCCCATCTTAGTCCTACTTCTAGTGACCCTAATCTATCACAGATTCCTTATGTTTGCACCAGTAAGTAAAGTTTTCCAACATCAGGGCATGAAGAGGTTTTTCATTTTACTTCATTTTCTCCTCTCTTCTCCTCCTCCCACTTTCAAGGCACTGGTCCTGACCTGGGAAGGCACTCCATCACCTGTCCAGACCATCTTTTGTGTGCCATGGAATCAGGTGGGCCAGCAGTAACCTACCTAGTTCTTAGCCTCATGGGGCTTTCATGGGCACCAGGAGTGTTCTGAGCACTGGACAGGCAGTACTCATGTTGTCCCCTTTCAGATGGGACACTGATGCACAGAGAAGTTGGGCCACTAGCTTGAGGTGATGAAAGGAGACTTGACTTGGGGTGATGAACGCACAATATACAGATGATGTATATTGCACACCTGAAACCTATATAATTTTAGGCACCAGATGATGTCTATTTGCACACCTGAAACCTATATAATTTTAGTAACCAATGTTACTGCAATAAATTCAATAAAAATAAAAACAAAGAATAGAAACCACTTAAATATCCATTAATAGAGGACTATTAAATCATAGCATGGCAGCACCCTGAAAGACTAGACATCCATTAAAATGAAGAAATGGCTCTGATCTGGAACAATTTATGAAGTATATTAAGATATTTTGAACAACTACAGAAGAAGAGTGTGTCTGAAATGCTACCATCTTGTGTATATTAGAAAAAGATATGTTTGAATGTATATGTTCTGTGTTTGTGCACACATGTGGTTGTGTGCATGTATGTGGATGTGTGTGGGCATACTGTATGTATGTGGATATGTGTGCATGCATGTGTGGAACAGGTAACAATGATTGCCTTTCGGTTGAAGACCTTGGGAATTTGGGGATAGGCCTGAGGGATGCATACTACTTTCTAAATTTTTAATACATAAACCATACTTTTGGTGTATTACAATCCTTTAAAGAAAAGTAGCATGAAATAAAGCAGTCATACTTGTGGCTTACTGAAAAATCAGAGACTAGTATAATCCCTCTGTAATGTGGAAAAGCATCACTATGTAGGAGGACACTGCTAAAGATATAAGGGGTTTCCTACCTGCTCTACAAAGACAGGGGCTGGAAATGTATCTTGGAGTCCCAGGGATGGTAAATAAAACTAGGGACACTAACTGGCTTTTGGCTAGAGGAGAGATGGTCATCACCTTGGAGATGACCAGGGCAGCCACAATAAGCAGGGTGGGCAAGAAGTCCTATGTTTTGGAAAGGGGGTGAAATGAATGGAGTGAGGATTGTGGAGTAAGGATTAATAGGGAGTTGCCTGGGCCCTGGAGAAGGACTGGATGGTAATTCCTAGTATGCATGGGGCAGAAGTCAGTTCTGTTGTGTGCTCGTGGGGTGTCTGGGGCCTGGAGAAAGAGCACAGAGTACTTCCCAGAAAAGGGCTCCAGGCCCACTCCCTCAAGACTCACAGAACCCAGGTGGGGAGCAGCACTGGGGTATGATGCAGGTCTGTCTGTGGCTGGAGTTCAGCTTCCAGAAGCAGTTTCTCAGGGCTGAAGGAAGCAGAATTCTTTAAAATCCTTTGCTCTTGGGATGGAAGCAAAAATTCATCTCTATTTGGACTATAGAGGTCTCAAGGAGATTTTCTCCAATGAGTAAAACAATGTCATGTTTGATATATGCAAAATACAGTAACAGGTCTCCATAATCCAGTATAATAATGAAGAGATACATGTAACAGATCTTTACATCTGCCTGAGACATCCTTCCTCACCTCTCCCCTACCCCCCACCCCCACCGTTAGATGACCACGCCTCTCTCCTCCCATTTTAAGAATAGTATCTCAAAGAATACATTGGGCATTTTTTGTGATACAGTGTTGTATCATACCACATGCAACTTTCTTTTCCACTCAATGGCAAGTTGCTAAGAGTCACACATAGTTGTTGTTCACTTAAGCCATTTAATTTTCATTGTATAATACTCCACAATTTGTCCTCTGTTTCCACTAAACATTTTGGTTATTTCTACTTTTTGCCATTGTGGACAATACTGCTCTGAGCATTCCTGCCCCATTCCCTGGTAATGTTGTCCCCAGAGAAGAGTTATTGACTAGAGGGTTTCTGAGCATTCACCCTTACCAGCCAGCACCACACAGTTTTCCCAAGTGGTCCAACTGCACATGGGCACAAGTAGCTTATAGAAAGAAGCTCCTTTAGATCTACCATTGTAATGGAAAACAGGTCCAGCTGCTACAAAAGTCAATAGTTGAGAGGCAGGTGCTGATGTAAAGGAAAGTGGTTTATTTGCAGGTGCTGGCCATCTGAAAGATGGGGGACTCATGTCTCAAAGCCCCACTCCTGGAAGATGGGCCACTCAGGTCACAAAGCCTATCTCCACCTCTCAGTGGAGGCAGAGATTTTTATAAGCAGGGAGAGGGGAACAAAACAAAGAAATCAAGGGAGGGGGTTGCAAGTTCTCTACATGCAGACCGGCACAGTCACTTCCAATAAGCCAAGTGATGGTCCAGTGTGCCTCATCCTGGTTTATTCATCATGGGTTCATGTCATCCTGGCTCCATGGTTGAAGGTCAGTAAATCTCATGGGGCTAGGAGGCCTGAAGGTAGGGATCTGTATATTTTGAAGTTACTTCCTCTGATTCTTATACAAACATGCTGTTCATCTACAAGGTACATATTAGCATCAGCACTTACAGAAACAATGTCAAAAGAATGGTGGGGTGGATTACAATTTCCCACCAAATTTCCACTGTTACACCATCAGACTATACTTTGCCATGGTCCACTGCTTAGGAAACAAAGCAGGAGAGCCTTCAGGGCTTCTCCAGCTGGTGCAGCAAAGTTGGCTGCTCTGTTGGTAGAAAAAGCTCATACTTGTTCCAGAATTCAGAGTCATAAAATGTGCATTGTCTTCAGTGGTTCCACCCCTGCAAGTTTATTCTGAAGAAGGACATGAAGGGAATAAGGAACTACCTGTTTTGTCCTCCCTATGTGTTGAGTGTTTCTATGCATTCAAGGTCCTCAAAGAAATGGGCAATAACCTAAATGTTTGCCAACAAAGGAATAGCTTAGCAGTATTCTCTATGTGAAATTATTCCAGAAACATTAGAAACAATCATGAGGCTCATTTAGCAACACGGGGCACGTGGACCAGGCATTTAAGAGCAGCTAACCATACCCTTGATTGTCCTCATGCCACAGTTAACAAGAATCAACATATGACTGGAGCCTCCTAAAAACGGGTGGTCAGGGGTCAACCAGCCTTCTAGGAAGTGAATTGCTCACTCTCAAAGACCACATGGAAGAGGGCTATGTCCTAGGGGTGAAGGAGCAACAGGAAATAAGGAGCCTGCACCACCCCCAGTGGCTCCATGGAGTAACATTCCTACCAGTTCTGCCTATGTTTCTCTGGACAAGACAGATCACCTTAACCTTGTTGAAGATGTCATTACTGAGCCTTTGTCACAGGCAGCCTCACCTGTATCCTAGTGAGAGAGCTATGGCATCACTGGCAAAAGCAGTGCCCTGATACCTGGGACCACTGACCTCTCAGAGTGTTTTGGTGACACGAAATGAGCAAAATTATTCCAAGGCCAGGGCCTTGCCTTTATCCCAAGGCCACTTGGCTAGTTGCTGAAATCAGCAGATGCAATTGGATGCAATTCTGAAACTGAATAAAGCATGAAGTAGTGTTGTTATTTAAAAAAAAAAACACCAAACAGGGATTTTATTTTGGCAAAATTTTAAACCATGGAACTATGCCTCCAAGGAAACCATCTGGATGGCAAAGCCATGAAATAAAACTGAAAATAAAAGAAAACAAATGAAAACAAACCAACATCGTAACTATAAAAATCCCTAAAAAGCAAAAAGCATTGACACTTGTCTTAAAGAAATCTTTGTAACTCAATCCTCCTTTGTCACTTCCATATTGGGAAGGGTGCTGACCAGTACTACCCAGGTCTGAGAGACTGGAACACTGAAAAATATAAGACAATTGTCAATAAATTAAAATGTCATGTGATCCTCAGTTCACACACTTTATCACTTTAGGAACTGGTTTTAATAGAAAACTAACAGGTCTGCAGAGGGTGCCAGATTATGAAACCACCTGGGTACCCTCATGTCTTGTCCAGCTCTTTTTGTAAGACCCTGTCTTTCTCAGGTCATCCCATGGCCCAACCAGGACCACACCACTGAAGGGCAGGCAGTAAGTCTAATCTGTGAGGAGACACGTTCTCATGCAGCCAGATGGGAAAGAAGTCAGAAGAGGGGCAGAGCAGAAGGATGCCCCTAGGCTGGTGATGTGAGAATCAAGAAGCACTTCCAATGTGTGCAGGCCTGAGCTTTGGGTCCTGCACTCATGGAAGAGGTGAGGGCTATTGTGGTCAGGGTAGAGCTGAGCATGTGACGTTGAGTGCATGCAAACTCAGATTGCACAGGAGACGTCCAATGGGGAGCAAGGCTGCGGAATGCCTGCCCCAAATGATAAAGTGACAAGTATCAGCACTCAGGAGGCTCTGAAGAGATGAGAGCTGATGGTGTGATGGCAAAAGGTGACTTCTAATTGTGATGCATCTAGGGTGTGACATCTGGATGGGGGTTAACTTTCAGCAAACAAGACATATCAGCGGCTGTGTGGGAACTGAGTGGGCTCAGCACAAAGATGTGTTATGGAAGCAAGTGACTAACAACTGAGCATGTAACAAACATGGTGTGTACATAGCTTCGGAGGGAGTATGTAGATAACAGGAATTTGTAAGAAAGATGGCAGTCCCTGGTGTGCTGACAGGACCAGCCCCTCCCTCCTTAAGCCTAGCTCAGCATGGTATGGCTGTGGTCCAGGGTATCCTGGTAATCATCCAGGCCCCAGGTTTTCTACATCTCTCCAGTGGAAAGAGACTTCATGAGGAGCTCAGTGACAGACTCTTCCTAGGTCCAAAAGAGTTGGCTGCTGCTGACCCACACTGAGAGAACCTATGGACATAATGTGGGGAAGCTCTGAGAGGATCATACTGAAGCACTTGGGCAGGCTCCTGAGAATGAGGGAACAAACGACCAGCCTGGAGAAGGAGAGCATCATAAGGAGGGGAACACTATAGCAAAGACTGGGGCATGAATGTCGCTAAGAAGCCAATCTCTGACCAGCCTGGCCGCCACAGACCACCAAGGCATTCATAGATCCTCACCATAGTGTGTGGAGGTACCACAGCTGCTTTGGCCTTGTTGCTGCCAAGCTGCCCTTCCTCAGTTGTAGTCTGATTCCTGTTTTTCAAAACTTCAAGCATATTCTGCTCTGTTCTTCCCAAAGTTCTGGCATTTGTATTTATCATCCAAAGACACTCTGAAGTGACATTATATATTCAACTAGTCACTAAAAAGACCTTCAGTCCCTCCTAAGGGACTCCCATGGCTGGCTCTCCCCCCAAAGCTAGAAGGGTGGATCCTCACTGTCAAGCACCCAATACACGCTGCAAAACTGCCCCCTCCCACACACACACATACACACGATTGGGAGGCAACCCAAGGCCGAAGGCCTCACTGAGCTGGTTTGGGCTTTAATCTTTGGCCCAGGCAGTGTAAAGGGTTACATTTTCCTCAAGTTGTTACTATTCTCCTCAATCCTACAATTTAGCACCCTCCACATGATGCACTCCCTCTATACACTATTCCTCATGTAACCCCTCACACTTGTGTGCTGCTGTGAAGGTAATAAATCTCTCTTATCTGATATTCATAACCACCTGGCATTCTTAGGCCTTCTGGTAACAGTGGAAACTGACAGAGACTCAGTGAGATGCCAAGATCAGACAGCCCCACACCCCAGAGCAAATGTCAAAACTCCAAACTGTCAGAAAGTAACAAAACACATTTATTTCAATTATTGGTATATGAGCTCCCCTGTTCATCAAAGTTCTACAAAAACCACCATCATACTGCATCCTGGGCTCAGTGGGCACACAGAGACAACCTAGCATCTGGCCAGGGCCAACCCAGCAAGAGGAAAGTTGGCCATGCTCTGTGATTGGCAGAGTAAAGGCAGTTTACAGCTGGCTCTGTGCCATGCCCATGGGTAAGGATGGCCACAGCCTAAGTCCTGCAGGGAAGGGGTTCTCTCCTTGGCCAGGACTGTCCTTAACAGGGTAGGTGAGGTGGGGAGGGGACTGGGATGGGCCACAGGTTACCTTGAACCAGCATTCTGCTCTGTTGCACCATGGGCAGGTTCAGGGACAGAGCTGACCAAAAATAAAAAAATAAAATAAAATAATAAAAGGCCTCTTTGCAACTCAAAATGCTATCATCCAGTCCTTACCTACTCAAGGATCCTGGAGAAGCATCGTCAAGCTAGAGCAGTTAGAGGAAGCAGGCATCAAGCGACAGGCAGGACAGGTGGCAAGCACATAGGTGTACAGCACCTAAGGTAGGTTGCACCCAAACCCAGCCAGGTGTGATACCAGCCCAAATGCAGTGGCTGTGAGAGTCCCAAATGCAGTGGCTGTGAGAGTGGGGTACCCTAGACCCATCAGAAATTCACATTCTCTATGTCCCCCAAACCCCAGCCCTGACCTAGGAGCCTCCACAGTGTACCAGGCCCTGCATGGGCACTAAAGGCTAGTACAGCCGCAGGTAGGAGGGTGCAGAGTAGTTGAAGAGCAGAAAGTCCATCCTGTAGAGATCAAAGAGGCGTCGCTGGTAGAAGGGACTGATGTCCTGGAAGAGGCTAATGGCCTGGTCGTGCGTGGTAGCTGCCTTGGCACGGGTTGGTGGTGTAGGGAAGCGCAGGTCAGGGGTGCCCACTAGGCCCAGCACAAAGGCTGCATCCTCTGCCAGGGTCTCGAACTTGCCCACAACATCGTAGCGCAGGCGACACGGGTGGCAGAGCACATGGGCGCGCTCCCAGTGCTCATTGAAAGGTTCCTCACGGCGTGTGCGTGGGTCCAGCAGGTAGGCCAGAAACTCAGCGAAGCGCACGTCATGACCACGGGCCAATGCCTCTGGGTGAGGGCGGGGCCGAAGGCGCCGCACAATGCGTGTGCCATAATGCCGCTGAAAGGCGGTGCTGTATGGCTGCGCGAACTTGTTGTGGTAGGCTGAGGCTAGGCGCTCAAAGGGCTCCCGCACAAAGAGGAAGGCCAAGTAGTTGCGCAGGCGCCGGTTTATCTCTTTGGGGCTGAAGTCGGCCAGAGACGGCAGGCGGCCTGGTGCATGTGCCTCGTACGCGGGAATGGCTTGAGGGTCCTGGACCCCGGGGCTGCTCAGTGCCAGCATCACACGCTTCCAGTTAGTGCAGGCCACCTTAGGCACATAGCAGTAGAGTAGGCTATGTGCGTCATCCACCAGCACATGGCGCAGGTCCTCGGGCTGCAGCAAGCGCTGCCGGTGTGTGTGGCGGCTGCAGGCCCTGCGCAGGTGACTGCGCCTTTCCCGATGCACCTCAGCCAGGGCTGAGCTTGGGCCCTGTGGACGACAGGGGTCAGGGTCAGGGCTGCTGCCCAGTGACATGTGTTAGCCAGAGCCAGGCAGTAGATAGGGGTCCTGGACTGGGACCCCAGCGCTGCCACTGATCATTGTATATGATTAGGGGCCCAGGCATTTGTCCAGGATGTGGATTGGGGGGGGGGGGAATGAATCTAACTTTGCAGAGGTATGTGAAACAGTGTGACTAGTCACTTGTTGGATATTCAGGTCTGAGGCGGTCCTGATAACAAATATGAAATGGTCAGAGTAAGCCTGATAAAGAGGTATGACTTCAAAGTACCCACCGCGATTGCAAACTGAGTATCAGCTGTTTACTAGAAGTAGTGTAGTATCTAAGAATGGTGGCTTTAATTCCGTATAGAGTTGAAAATGCAGCTACCTGCAGGCCACTGGGATATTTTTGTTTAATAGTAAAATTAGTTAATTCTATATTTATGAATTGGCATGTTCCTTTGAGTCTTGACTTCTTTATCCCACCCAGTCCTGTCCTCTCCCCAGACCACACCACCCCCCGGAACAAATTCTAATGTCAATACTTAGGCAAGAAGCCTGCCCTCTCTAAGTGTGTTACTCCTCTGTGAAATAATAACATCCAGCATTCATCTTGTACTTATCGTGTACCAGGCACCTCACTATGACCTTTACAACTCCATGAATTGGGTACTATAAGGAGGTCACTTGGGCCCAGCCCTTCCTATCCCTCCTCAGCCATACCAACATCCAGGCCAGTACCTCCAGCAATCCCTCTTCCTTTCCTCAAGTTTTTTCTGCCCTCAATAGGGTTTTCACCTCCAATAGTAACACTCCAAACCCCTACTTCTCTCTTTGGTGGTTTTTTCTTGTCTGAGTTCTTAGAAAAAAGTGTTTTTAATTTCTAAAAATTGCTTTAAAAGCCTTTAGGTAATAAGACAATAAATATTGGTGAGGATGTGGGAAAGTGGGACCTTATTCATTGCTGGTGAGAAAGTAAAATGGTATAGATGTTGTGGAAAGCCATTTGGCAGCTCCTCAAAAAAAGTAAACATATGATCCAGCAATTCCACTTCGAGGTATATCCCTAAAGTAACTGAAAACATACATTACACAAAAGCTTATGCACAAATGTTTATAGCAGTGTTATTCATAATAGCTAACAAGTGGAAACAACCCAAATGTCCATCAACTAATGAGTAGATAAATAGTATATATGTGTCTATCCATACAATGGAATATCATTCAGTAATAAAAAGAAATGACATTCTAAAACATGGATAAACCTTGAAAACATTATGCACACTAAGTAAAAGAAGCTAGACATAAAAGGCCACATGTATGATTCCATTTACAAAAAAATGTCCAGAATAGATCCATTGAGACAGAAAGTAAATTGGTGGTTGTTAGGGCTAGGAGTGAAGAAAATGGGGAGTGACTGCTAATATGCACTGGTTTTCTCTTTGGAGTGATGAAAATGTTTGGAAATTAGATGGTGGTGATGGTTGTGCTTCCTTGTAACTATACTAAAACCACCAAAGTATACACTTCAGAAGAATGAATTCTGTGGTATGTGAGTTATATCTCAATTAAGAAAAGGCCTCAGAATGTTTCTATTTCAGAGGATGCCAAAGCAGCATCTGAAATAGCAGGACACTGTACACTCTGTGACTGCATGAGACTATCTGACATTGTTGGGTGGGACTGTGTGGGAGGGCCGAAAATAGACTGCATGTGTGGGCATATGTGCATGTGCCTTTAAAAATATCCTGCAGACATCCAAGATACTTTAAGTGCAAAAAGTTAAAGAAAGAACAGGACTTAGCATGACACAGTTGGATTTAGAAAAGGTAGTGAAGGAGCCCTGGCCAGGTAGCTCAGTTGGTTAGACCGTCATCCTGATATGCCACGGTAGTTGGTGTGATGCCCGGTAAGGACAACAAGAATGAACTGATGAATAAATGGAACAACAAGTCAATGTTTCTCTCTCTCTGTCTCTCTTCCTTCTCTCTTCTCTAAAATTAATTAAAAATTTTAAAAGGGTAGAGAGGGAAATAAAAAATCATGTTTCAGGCCCTGGCTGGTATAGCTCAGTGGATTGAGTGTGGGCCTGCGAAGTAAAGGGTCACTGGTTCGATTCCCAGCAGGGCACATGCCTGGGTTGTGGACCCAGTAAGGGGCGTGCAAGAGGCAACCACACATTGATGTTTCTTTCTCTCTCCCTTCTCCTCTCTCGAAAAATAAATAAATAAACTCTTTAAAAAATGCTTCAAAAAGGATGGGTAGTCTCTCTTTTAGATTTACGCTGAAATAATCACAGGGTTAACAAGGTTGGGATTTGCTTCAAAAAATAAACAGGTAAAAAAAATAAACAGGTAAAAGTTGAGGGGTCAGTATGAAACAAGAATGGATAAGAATTAATCATTGTTCAGAGTGGGTGATGGGAATGTGGGTGTTCATTGTACTATTCTCTATACGTCTGCATATGTTTGAATTTTTCAAAATGAAAAGTTAAAATTGAGAGAACAAGGACATATGTACTTGCAGGTGAGATTTTGAAAAAGTAACATAATAAGCCCATGATAGAGCATTTGATGCTCTCACAGGAAGTAGTCGATTCCAGGGGTAATGGGAGGCCAGTGTGGGAAGGAAAGGTGCTCTTCACTGTAAACTCTTTGGGAGTGTAAAATGCCCTAAAGTGCTTAATTATTTTTTCAAAAATATTGCGGCGGGGATGGTTGCCAAGTTCAGATATGGCTGTAGGGGCCTGAGGGCACTTAGAGGATTGCATTCCCACCCTGCAAAGCACTGACTCACAGGATTGGCCTCAGAAACCTGGCTCCATGTGGGTGCCAGGAGAGGACTGTAACCAAGGGCCTCACAGCCAAGCTCTGTGTTCAGCTTCCAGACAACCCAACATGTTCCTTGTGGTAGGGAATGTTGGCCATCCACTTATTTGTCAGTTTCCTTCCTTCCTTGCCAGAAAACCTCAACTATGTTAGACCATGTGGCCAACCTGAGAAGGAAGCAGTCACACCTTCATTAAAATGATGGGTTCGGAGGTGGGCATGTGGCCTGTTTCTGGCCAAGGAGATGTAAAGGGATGACTGCTGGATGGCTCCCAGAAAAGACTTCCCTTCGGGAGAAAAAGTGAGAGCTCCTGAAGGAAGAAAACCTTTTGTTTCACCTCTACCTTGCTTAGGATGTTCTCCTGTGAGGAGATGTCAGGGCCCTAGCATTCATCGTACAGCCATAAGGCAATAAGGCTGTAGCAGAAGTCAACATCCACAGGCTGTGAGTGTGCAGAGTGTTGCTGCAGTCCATGGGAATGCCAGTCTCTGAGTACCGCAGGGAGCACACATTGACTATCCTAGTGGCTTACTGTAGTCTTAGCTGGCTTTTCTGTTGTTTTCAACCTCATGAATACCTAGATAGTCAATGCAATCTCCTTTTTACAGGTTAGAACACTGAGGCTTAGAGGTAATTAGTGGTCTACAGCTCTCTGGTAAGGAAGCTCCAGTCTGGTTCCCTTGGGACTCAAAAGTCAAAGCTGTGCTTACTGGTCTGGAGCTGCATCCAGCTGCAACACCCTCATCCCTCCCAGCACAGCTATACTCAACTGCTTGGATCCTTAGCCTGGCTCCAATCCCTATGACTTCTGTGGTATTCTCAAGGTCCTTAGCCATCCTGTGCTTCATTTTCCTCATCTGTGACCAGAGATAACAACAGCCCCATCTTATAGGGTAGCTGAGAGGACTAAGCAATTTCACAGAACTAGAGAGCCTGGTACAGTTAGCATTTATTGACCAGATTGTTTTCATTACTATTATTTCTCCAACTGCAAGGTGATATGGTTCCAGGGCCTTGACACTCCAAGGTCACTGGGTGCTCAGGCTATGAGGGGGCTGGGCCAGCCTCATCTGTCCTTCAAAAAGTCTGTGCAGCTAATAGAACCAAGGGCCTGATGACAGCGTGGCCTGCCCTCAACTTGCTGTGTGGCTCAGGGCAAGCCAATTACCCTCTCTGAACAAAGGCCTACCCACCTGAAACCCAAGGACATGAAAAATGAGTTCTACTTGCCCCTTTGGCTCAGTCCTTGGGAATTCAGTGAACAGCACTTTCCCAGACCCAGTTTGATCATTCTCTCTGGCTTAAAATCCTTCATGGCTCCCTATAGTCTTGCCCCCCTTGCCCGGTCACATGAGGCCACTGGCCACCACTGGCTAACCTTGCACACCTTCTTCTGTCTTTTGCTCATCTCCAGCTACTTGGCCCCTACTGTTTCCTTCTTAACTCATCCTCTGCAGGTCTCAGCTGTAATGTCCCTTTCTCATAGAGGGTCTAAACTAGGAATCTCCTGGTAGAGCTCTCATCGTACCTTATACTTTCCCTTTAGACACCAATCAGTCACAAGTTAGTGGAGGCAGTGATCAGTTAATGTCTTTCTCCCCTGGACTGGATTGTTAGCTGCACAAGGTCAGGAAACCAGCCTACCTAACTGTAGCCAGATCCATAGGTTCCTAAGCACAGTCTGCATACAGTAAGTGCTGCCTGAGTGAGTGCCCCTAAGTGTGGCTGTTTGGGTATATGTGAGCCAGGGGTGTGGCTCTCAGTGGGGTACAACTATGTGTGTATTTGGGGTAGTGTGTGGTCCTAGGGTGCCAAAAGAGAAGAGAGGTTCATAGACCAGTAAGCTGCCTGGCCCATTGCCTAAGAACAGGTAAGGCAGAGGCTTCTTCAGTTTCCCTGTTGCAGCTGGTACTAAATTTAATTACTGTCTACCCACAAGACTGTTAACTCCCTGAGTGCAGGCTCAGTGTCTGTTTTACTCTCTTTCATATCTGCAGTACATAAAACTGGCACAGACTGGGCCCAGTCTATTGTTGAGAGGATGATGGATGGGGTTGGATGATGGTGGGTGGAGATACCAGCTCTCTCAGCTTGCCCCTGAGATTTTCCCTTGTCACATCCCTAGGCATTCTAGTTTCTGAACAGAGCCTGGATTTGCAGAGGATGATTCTCTGTGCCCATGTGGGTTCTAGTCCTAGGACAGCCAGTCTACACTGGGGATCTCAGGTTCCCATGCCTGGAGGCAGAAGGTGTGGGGAGGGTCCACCTACCTGGTCCAGGTCATAGAGCATCTGCAGGGGACTCCTTCTCTTCCCATCAAGAAAGCCAGAACCCAGGGCCCTGTTTTTGGAATCTTTGGAGGATAAAGAGAGAGGTGTTATCACTCCAACAGACAAACTGGCTTTGCGTTGGGGTAGGTGGCTTGAGAAACCTATGGCAGAGGTAATCCATCTCTGAGAATCAGTTTCCCTGCTGTCCCACCTGCCTCAGGATTGGGAGGGGGGCAGTGGTAGAGTGTGGGGAAATACTGACAGAGCCCCTAATCTATGCTTGGTGTCACTCCTGCTCCTATATCCTGTCATCTAGAGTTGGAGAGTGCCAGGTGGTAAGGAATGAGAGGAAAGGTGGTACCCAGACTACAGCACTCTGGGAAAGGCCTGCCTGTACCCAACATTACCCTCCTCAATCTTTCATCAGATCATGGCCTGCTCCTGCCAGCCCCATGACTGAGGAGCCCTGAGGGGCTCAAGAAGCTACTAGTCTGTCCAGAGAGGGCTGGGCAGCGGTGGTTGTGGCACAGCCAGACTGCAGGCTCTCCTATTGACCACAATGAACTACAGCAGCCTATACTTCTCCTAGCAGTGTACATGCTTCCTGTGGTAAATACAGCTTTAGCTGTGCCCAGACTGGATGCCCCCAAGGGCAGAAATAGTGTCTGCCTGTCTCAGGGATGAATTCCTCAATCTTCCTAAAACTATCAAAAACACAGCTTGCTAAGTTTATTATTCACTCAAAATGTGTTTTAAGGACTATCTTCTTTTTTTTAAATTATTATTTTTTTTATTTTATTTATTTATCTTTAGAGGGGAAGGGAAGGAGAGAGGGAGAGAAACATCAATATATGGTTGCCTTTCATGCGTCCCCTGCTGGGAACTGGCCTGCAGGGAACCGGCCTGCAACCCCTGTCTGTGCCCTGACTGGGATTCGAACCGCGATTGTCTGGTTCGCAGGCCCACGCTCAATCCACTGAGCTACACAAGCCAGGGCAGGACTATCTTCTTAAACATATTTAATTAATATAAGTATATTCTTGGTAGTATAATCAATACTGGTGAGGAAAGGTTGAAGCCCTTCTTGAGCATATTTTTCTTAAATGTGATTATACTTATTAAAAACTCAAGAAGTATAATATAATCTTTACAAAATCACTAAAATTTGCAAATTTTTAACCTGCTTGGCAAAGAAGAAAAAAATGAAGACTCAAATTACTAAAAACAGAAATAGAAGAAGGTATATTAGTACTAGACCTTAAAGAAATAAGAAAGGATTATAACAGTATAATATGAACAACTGTGTAAGAGTACACAAAATAGAGAATTCATGTATAAAATGGAAACTTTCTAGAAAAACACAAATGCTTAAAATTGACTCAAGAAGAAATACAAAATTTTGGTATAACAAGTACAGGGATTTCATTAGTAATTTTTAAAAGGAAGCCCTGTTGAGACTAGTAGGATGGGCAGAGAGAGACATGAAATGGTCTGATCCAACAACCACCTGTGGAAGTTCAGAATTGGGAGGAATATGTTGGCTAAAACGTAATCAGTGAGGAACTAGAGGGTCCCAGTCCCATGCAGGAAGAACATTTTCCACAACACATGACTATGAAAATCAGTGGGGACTCTTTCTGGGTGAGACAGAGGGCTTCTATAGACCCAGGAATCCTCTTAAAAGGCCCAAGCACAGACTCACTGACTCACAAATACTCACCCTAAGCTCCAGTAAAGGGACAGCAGCTAGAAAAGCACCAGGGACACATGGGGGAAGAACTGATCTGTCTGGCTTCAGGGTGAGGGTTGAAGGGACAGGTCAGTGTTGGCAGGTGCCATTGTTACTTTGTTGAGCCCTCCTCCCACCTTCACAGCTGGCAAGTGCTGGCAGGCACTTATTCTTTGTTGAGACCTAACCCCACCCCCACCATCCTATGAGGGCAGGCTGATGCAAAATCTGAGTCTCCATCAACCTGCCTAAAACCATTACCCAACCCTTGTCATTCCCTGAGACCCTGCCAACCCATCTGGGGCATCTGCCTCTTTTAGTTGCTGTTCCCTAAAAGCCATTGGCCTTCGACTATGCTATAAACATTCCTAAAATATCTCAAAGTTCCAAAAACCTGAAATAAGCAGTGGCTGTCCTTGGCATGCTCTATTCCTCTTGATAAGTGGCTATAACCCTAGCACCTGTGGCAGCCAACCTCAGTTACCATAACCTTTACCAGGCACCTCTAAGCAAAATACAGGCAGCTACCATCCAAAGACTACCTTGTGGCTCCTACCAGGTGGCCCTGTGCCAGGTACAGGCAGTAGCTGGTCTGGGCACATGTGAGAGCCCCTATAAAAAGGGTCTATAACCAACACAACTTGTGGCTAGATTCAGAACATACAGCACCAGCTAATTAGCTCCAAAAATGATACACCAAAGGGGAACTTGGCAAGCACCAGACCCCATTAGAGTGAATCCTGCTCCATGTGATCAGACCCCACGCTACAGCTCAAGGACAGTCCTGACAATCTATCAGCCTGAGGGGCAATGCCTCTCACTGATGTGAGATTGCCAAAGAGCAATCAAGCCTTCAATACAAAAGGAGGGTACACACAACTTACACAAGGGATACACCTGGAGCACCTAGCTCAGGTGACCAAGAAGACTGCACCACTGGCCCCCACAAAAACCCCATACATAATATCACTCCACCAAGACCAGAAGATGTAGCAGATCTATCTAATGCATAGAAACAAACACAGGGAGGCTACCAAAATGAGGAGACAAAGAAACATGGCCCAAATGAAAGAACAGAACAAAACTCCAGTAAAAGAGCTAAACAAAATGGAGACAAGCAATCTACCAGATGCAGAGTTCAAAACACTGGTTATAAGGATACTAGATTCTCTCAGTGAAAACTTCTACAAAGAGATAGGAAACATAAAAATTGATATATAAAAACATTAAAAAGAGCCAGTCAGAAATGAAGAATACAATAACTGAAATGAAGAGGGAATCAATAACTGTAGAGGGAATCAATACAAATTAGATGAAGCAGAGGATCAAATCAGCAATTGGGAAGATAAGGTAGCAGAGAAAGACCAATCAGAACAGCATAAAGAAAAAAAAAGAATGTTTTTTAAATGAGGATATTTTAAGGGACTTCTCTTACAACATCAAGTGTAGCAATATTTCATCCTAGAGGTAGCATAAAGTGAAGAGAGTGATCAAGGTATTGAAAACATATTTGAAGAAATAATACTGAAAACTTCCCTAACCTTCACCAGGTTAGGTGAAAGAAATAGATAAACAACTCCAGGAAGCAAAGAGAATCTCAAGTAATATGAACCCAAAGAGGCTGACACCAAGACACATCATAATGAAAATGCAAAAAATTAAAGAAAGAGAGAATCTTAAAAGCAGCAAGAGAAAATCAGTTAATTATCTACAGGGAGCTCCCATCAGATTTTCAGAGAAATCTTAATAGAAACTTTATGGGCCAAAAGGTTTTGTCATGAAATATTCAAAGTGAAGAAAAGCAACTACCTACAACCAAGATTACTCTACCCAGCAAGGTTATCATTTAAACTTGAAGGGGATAAAGAGCTTCCCAGACAAGAATAAGCTAAAGGAGTTCATTGACACTAAGCCAGTACTATAAGAAATGTTAAAGGAACTTGTTTAAGAAGAAGAAAAAAACAATCAAAATATAAATAAGAATATGATAATCACTATATATTTATCAATAATTACTTAAGTAACTATTAAATGCTCTGATCAAAAGATATAAAGCTTAATGGATAAGAAGCCCATACATATGCTGCACTTCAGACTGACACGCAAAGGCTGATAGTAAATGAATAGAAAAAGATATTCCTTGCAAATGAAAAAAAGCTAGGGTAGCAATATTTCTATCAGACAAAGTAGACTTTGAAACAAAGGGTATACAAGAGACAAAGAAGGAATTTCATAATGATAAATGGATAAATCTAACAAGAGATATAATACTTATAAACATTTACAAAACAACAAAGGAACACCTAAATATATAGAACAAATAACTACTGACATAAATGGAGAGATCAACAGCAATATAGTCATAGTAGGGGCCTTTAACACCCAATTGACAGTAATAGATGATCCACACTGAAAATCAACAAGGAAACAGCAGCCTTAAATCACACATTAGACCAAATAAATTTAATTGATATTTTTAGAACAATACACCCAAAAGCAGCAGAATATACATTCTTTTCAAATGCTTATGGAAAAATTTCCAGGATAGATAACATGTTAGTTCACAAAACAAGGCTCAGTACATTTAAGAAGACTAAAATCATATCAAGCTCTTCTCCAATCACAAGAGTATGAAGCTAGAAATCAATTACAAGGAGAAAAGCTAAAAACACACAAGCATGTGGAGGCTAAATAACACACTATTAAACAATGAATGGGTTAATGATGAGATTAAGAAAAAAAATCAAAATATACCTTGAACAATGATAGTGAAAGCAGAATGACCCCAATTCTACGACATATAGCCAAAGTGGTTCTAAGAGAAATTCATAGAATACAGGACTACCTTAAGAAACAAGAAAAATCTCAAATAAGTAATTCATCCTTCTACCCAAAGCAACTAGAAAAAGAATAAAGCCTAACGTGGGTAGAAGGAAGATCTTGAAAGAAAGAAATAAAATATAGTATAAAATATAGGATATATTTTATCTTTGAAAAGATAAATAATACCAGACTCTTAAAGCGAAAAAGATAGAGGGACCAAATAAACAAACCAGAAATGAAAGAGGAAAAGTGATAACTGATACCACAGAACTACAAAGGAAATACTCTGAACAATTTTATGCCAACAGACAGGACAACCTGGAAGAAATGAATAAATTTCTAGATACATATAATCTTCCAAGAATGAATTAAGAAGAAACAGAAACACTGAACAGATGGATAACTACTGATAAAATGAAATCAGTAACCAAAAAAACAAAAAAAACAAAACACCTCTCAACAAACAATAATCCTGACCAGATGTCTTCAAAGGTGAATTTTACCAACTATTTAAAGAAAAACTAACATATATCTTTCCCAAACTCTTCCCAAAAAAATGAAGAGGAAGGAAAACTTCAAAGCTCATTATATGAGACTAGGACTACTCTGATGGCAAAACCCAATTAAGACATTAGACAAAGAGAGAGAGAATTATATATAATGTCTCTGATAAACATAGATGTAAAAATCCTCAACAATATATTAGTAAGCCAAATTCAGCAAAACATTAATAAGCTCATACACCATGAAAGTAGGTTATATTCCTGGATGCAAGATTGGTTCAACATCCATAAATCGATTTATGCAATGAAGAATAAAAATCATATGATCATGTCAATAGATGCAGAAAAAATATTTGTCAAAATTTAGCATCCATTTATCATAAAACCTCTCAGCAAAATAAGAACAGAGGGAACATATCATAACATAAAAGCCACATATGACAAACCCACAGTAAACATTATACTCAGTGGTATAAAGCTAAAAGCATTTTCATTAGGATCAGAAACAAGACAAGGATGTCTACTTTCACCACTTTTATTCAGAATAGTATTGGAGGTCTTAGCTAGCCATTGGAAGTCACACAAGAAAAAGAATGGAACAGCATCCAAATTGGAAAGGAAGAAGTAAAACTTCATTACTTGCACATGACATGATAGTGTACATAGAGAATCCTAAAAATTCTACCAAAAACTACTAGAACTGATGAGTAAATTTAGTAAAGTAGCAGGATATAAAATACGATTTCAGAAATTGGTTGCATTTGATACACCAATAACGAACCATCAGAAAAAGAAATTAAGAACACAATTCCATTTACAGTTGAAATACAGGAATAAATTTAACCAGGGAAGTAAAAGACCTGAACTCTGAAAACTATAGGATATTGAAGATAGAAGTTGAAGAAAATATAATTAATGGAAGTATGAGCATGCTCATGGATAAAAAGAATTAACATCATTAAAAGGTCTATGCAATCTATAGATTCAATGCAATCCCTATGAAAACACCAGTAGCATTTTTCACAGAACTAGAAAAATAATCCTAAAATTTATATGGATCCACAAAAGATCC